GCTCTTCCGTGCAGCCTGACCGCTTGCATGCTGCCTGCTGTCCTGCTCCATCACTGACACCCACACTCGGCCTCGCACTCTCGTCAGCTTCAAGCCGTTTGTGCTCTACCCTCGTTCCGCAGAGCAGGTTCCAACAATCAATCACCTTACCCCATCTTGGTGAAGTCAGTATGAACGCGTTGCAAGTAAGTTGAGCTCGTGCGGCTTTGCGATGACTCTTGGTACCCTGGCGTCTCCTCCTCTCCCTCTCCTGTGTGGCTTGGGCCTTCCAGACCCGCTGCGCAGCTGCTGACCCTATTCTTCGCCCTGACTGCTTCTCCAGACACACTTCTGGGCGGTGAGGGACTACCTTTCTCCCGTCTTGAGAGAATCAAAGTTCAAGGAGCATGGAAGAATCACTCCGGGTGAGATGCTGGGCTAAGAGTGCCATGCTGGTGGAGCGATCCCTTCAGGACTGCTCGGCCAGGAGAGGCTTGGTCAGAGATTGAGCTTACCCTCCGCATATATGCCATCTCGCCAGACGAATTCGTCGCTGCAGGCGACTTTCTCGCTTACAAATTCCCGACATGGTCATGGTCACCAGCATCGACATCTGCTGTCATCGGTGCTGGCTCGGGCACTTCTGGCTCTGGTGGTGCAGATGACGCTTCAAAGTACACGAGAGACTTTCTACCCAAGGATAAGCAGTACCTCATAAGCAGAGGCGTACCTTGCTTGAGGAGAGTCAGCGCCATGGAGAAGGCTGCAGCAGGCAGCGGAAAGGGAGCATCAGGACCTGGCTCGAAGGAAGATGAGGAAGTCGTGGATGCTACAAGTGACGACAAGGAAGGATGGCTAGCCACCCACCTCGATGGTGAGTTGAGGGGCGTTTGTGTTGAACAGGTATCGAAGTATCTCGTATCTCGCTCGCACAGCCGTTGTTAGAAGCGCGGTCTCGGCTTACCTTTGGGCTCCCTTTATCATCCCTCTTCTTGCTGCAAGGGGATGGAATTTCCTCGTCAACGAATCCGGGAGACATAGCCGACATCCCAGATGTAGACGGTGAAGTGGGAGGACTGACCGCTGGTGAAGAGGACGA